TTTCTATCCAATTATTTTTACTTCCTAACATTTTGATTGCCAGTGTGCTTTGAGCACGAGGGGCAAAATGTGATCCTCCATCTTCATGCAAATTTTTCTAGTAAGAAAAAGCATGGAATTAATTCTCCAAGTATGATAGGCAGAATCCTTGCTACGGAACATATTTTGAGATTTTCTTTGAGCATCAACTGATTGTGCACTGTAGTGCTAATGCAATGACACACGGCATGGGATTTAAGCTGCCATAGAATTGTATGGTCTTTAGGTATAATAATGTGTGAAATTTGTCCTAAGACAAATGCTCTCTTGGGCCCTGATCTTGCAAACACCAGCTACTGAGTGTAGCTATTATTGCTATGTACAGTGCCTAGCATAATGGAGTCCTGCTCTGTCCCTAGGTTTCTTAGGTCCGACAGTAATACAAATAAATAATCATTGCACATTATTATTAATAGTCTCACAGGCCTGTAGTCTCAAGTTAATAAGTACTGTGCTTGGTAGTGTTAGTGGGGGCAGGCCTTTATTTTCAGATCATCATTTTTAACCTTGAGCATTCCTGGTCACAATAACAGGTTCACTTTTGACTGCTGCTACTGTGATATATTCAATTTTTAAAACAGTAACCAAAAAATTAGGAACTGTGAAGAAAAGAAAAAATGAAACAGGAAGGCTCGAGCAAGCTACAGTACAAAATCAGCTTGGGTCACACGCCAAATGAGTCATTGTTCTAGCTCTAACCTTTTATCTGCATGTTTTTCAGTCTTATTAGTCACATTAGGAGCTTTATCAGGGGACAGAGGAAATCATATCCCTTCGGGGAAGCTGGGAATGATGACCCAAGTAAAACACATCTTTTGGATGATGGGAGAAGGGGTTGGAGGAAAGAAAACTTTGTCAGCCCTGGAAAGAAGAAAAAGTCAGATTTTCTCAGCTGTAGAGTGATTAAGGAAGAAGGGAGGCATTGTGCTAGCAAAAATAAGAAAAACAATGTTTATTGCTGATAAGATCCTCACCTGCCATCATTTTCTCTGCTGTTCTGGTGCACATATGCAGTTCGGGTAGTGCCACTCTGTTGTGTCAACTGGTTTAGAAGATTAGCTGTTGCTCCTTTTACTTGCCTGAGAGCTATTTCTGCATGGATGCTTCGAGGATTAATTGTCACCATTCCTGGGTTCTTAGATTTCTTATCTGAATCACAAAATGTATATGGATATCCTCCAAACATAACAACAGTACTCCAGCCAAACCCCAACATGCCCGTTTCCAATTATCAAGAACTCCATCCATTCCTCTTTTCCTGTAGGCTTCTAGAATTCTGTATCTTTCTTATTGTTTCCTAACAGGCATAACAAGAGCCTTGATGGTCATACCATCACTTTCCTTTTCAGTTTTTAACATAGTTTTCTTTCAAATTTCTTTGAAATTAGTGACCCCAAAAAGTTGAAATATGATCATTCTTATGGAATTTATTCAGATTGACAGATGCCCCAAAATGAAAACAACTCAGAAAAATGACAAAAGCTAGGAAAAAATACAAACTGTTCATTCTTTCTCTGAAAACCTATGAGTTTTTCATAATCATCTGTAGGATGTGCACAAAAATGTAATTATATATAAGTACTACAAAATAAAGTCAACTATGAATGAACTAATGTAATCTTTTTTTTAATGCAACTGAAATGCCATTAGTTCCAGATCAGTCTCCAAGATATCTTTGGCAAGTCAAAATGTTCTTATTAAAATTATTCAATTTATCCTATATGTAATGTCCAGTACTGGGAAATATATAATTATATTTTACATTCAGGAAAGGAACCAGAATACTATACTCACATTTATTTGCCTCATTCTGTAAAGGATCTTCAAGTACATGAGGAAACATGAGGTCAGATCCAAATAAATGGTTGATTCCTTCAAGCAGATTCACATTTGTTACTCTTACGGGAGGATGTTTTGAAAAGGTAATTGGTAATCCAGGAAATCCAGAGTCCATAGGGGAGTTTGCAACTGGGATTCCCTACATAATAAAACAAAAGGCAAGTAAATAGGTCTCAGTTTGGTATTGAGGCAAAATACATAAGCTGCATAGATACTGTATTAGGGCATGATCCTAAAAACCCTTATACACAAATAATACTTACTAAAACAGTCTTTGAGGGGAGTCTTTGGTCATGTGGTTAAGACACTGGACTAGGACTGAAGAGAACTCTGTTAGGTTCCTGGTTCTGTTATGGACTCCATGTGACCTTGGGCAAGTCAGATAACCTCTTTGTTTCTGGCTTTCAAATGGGAATAATATTTTCCTTCTCCCACCCTTTTTCTTGTCAACGTAGATTGTAAGATTTCTGGGGCAGGGATTGTCTCTGTGTTAGCACCAAGCAAAATGGAGCTCCAATTTGTTCAGGGCCTCTAGGCACTACTGTGATACCAATAATTCATCATAATAATGTCAATCTGAAAGGATTATAGGATCGGGCAGTCAGTCTACTGTTACTGACTTGAGATTTAACTATTTTAGTTGCCAGTTGAACTGTAGCACAAAAATAGAAGCTGTGCATGCCGAATGGATTAACGATTATAAATGTTTACAAAATCTGGGGATTGATAACGTTTGGGGAGCACTTTGGGAGCTAAGCAACAATAGCACACCGGAGCCATTAATAAAAAAAGAATACATCTAATGTGTGAACTGATGATCAACGGAAGGCCTGTAAAATTGCAATGTTGGAAAGATATTTCTAATACCATACCAACCAATTCATAAATAAATCTATGTATATTGTTTCATAAGTAAAATCTTAGTGTCTGATGTTATGCTGAGTATAAGTCGGTGCTCATTTGTCTGGTTAAAAGAAATTTACTATTGTTTTTAAATGCAGAAATAAACTGTAAAAAACCCTATAAAATATGCATGTAAATTGACTGATTGTCTATCATTAAAACCATCTCCAATTCAACAGTGAAAAGCATGAACTACAGGAGATAAATATAAGCATAAAGACAAAAAAGAATCCTATACTATGTACAGAGCGTTCCAACAACAACCTAAAGTAGTAATAAATAAGGTGCTAACCTACTTTCTGCTGAGAAAATTTCTTTTGAAGTTTAACATCAAAAGCATTTTTTCCACTTAAATGACACCATACGGTTTCTCTGGCTTACTTTCTAACAAAAACACAACTAAAATGCAACTGACAAACTTGAAAAATCTTTTGTGTTATTCCACTTCAATGACCTAATGAGATAATGGCTCAGTTCTGTTCTAGCTAACTAGGTATAACATCTTCATTGAACCTTAACATAATACAGAGATATCTCTAAAGATATTGCCTTAACATACTTCTCTTGCTTTGCTAATCCTGCTATGTTTTTTATTTAAGTGATGTCCAATGTATAAGAATACAGGTCAGTTTTGAAATAAAACATTTACACATGCAATGACTCAATCCACAAGTGCCTTGAACTCTTGTATACAAGGACTGTGGCTTCAAGTGGCAAAAATGTGTTCACTAGCAAAGTAACTCACGAAGGCCCTGATCCTACAAATTGGCATGCTAGCGTATCCACAAGGAGGTCTGTGATAGCACGTGTTTGCAAGGTCAGGTTTAAGGTAGAGCCTGATATACAGGGAATTTGGCATATCTGGAATGAGTGTGATTTACTATCAATGTTACCCCTAATATCAGGGAACGCAATTACACCTTTATTAAATTGACACCTTCATTATTTGTATTGCAGTAGCACCAAGAGAGCCTTATCGTAATAAAGCATGTCATACACATATGACAAAAAGACTGTTTCTGCCCCCAAGAGCTTACAGTCTAAATGTATGATGAGAGAACGGGTAATTACTACAAGCAGATGGGGAGCACAAGGCAACAGTGAGATGATTAGGATTAGTGTAAGCAGGGGTCACGGTCACGTGTTTTGTAGGTATCCTGGCAGAGTTGTGTTTAAAGGAGAATATTGGAGTATAATGGCTTTGTAGATGTTATGGGGAGTGCCTCTCATACATAAGGGATAGCATGGTACAGAGGTGTTTGGGGAAAAGTTGGACTAATGGGCAATAAAAGCTGACTAGTGATGCCTATAATAATCCTGACTACTTACAGTGTTTTATCCATAGACTTCAAAATGCTTTACCCAGGTGAGAAAGTGGTGTTACTGTGCTTTATAAACAGGGAAACTGAGGCCTGAAGAGGTTAAAGTCTCTTGTCCAATATAAAGCCACATAGCAAGTAAGTGGCAGAGCTGGGAAATGAATCCAGCTCTCCTCACTATTTTACACATATGTTGTGGTAGGGATGGATGTGTACTACATTCTGGACAGCAGGAAAATAATGGATCAATTAAACAACGATCTGAAGAAAGTGCACCCAGTGATGTGAAATCACCAGTCTGCAATGGAACCAAAGAATTCTCACTACATGGCTCTGAGGTAACTAGCAGGACCAGAAGGACAAAGGGATGCACGTTGGCTCAGTCTCCTATTTGGACCATACTGATATTATTCGTATTGGGGTAGCCCCTAGGAGGCCCAGCTATGGATCAGGCTCCCCCTGTGCTAGGCACTGTACAAACACAAATGAAAATATGCTCCCTGTTCCACAGAGCTTGCAATCCAAGTGTAAGGCAACAGGTGGATACAGACCGACTGGTGGGGGAGCATAAGGAAATATTAAGATTACATTGGGCAGCAAGATAGTCAGTGGTCTCAGATTTCAATGGTGGTGGTGGTGGGGAACTTTCAGTGGGAGGGGAGGAGAGTCCTGGAGCCACTTAGATCCCTGGAAGTTCTTGGATGTTTTAAAGGATAAAATACAAAAAACAGTCTACGTTAGGAGCATTTCTTGCGATAACATCATATATTTTTAATAAAAATTCATTATGGTTTACTACAACAAAATGATTGACACCGGACAACCGGGAGACGTAAAGCTAAGCAATCTGCTGCACATGTGGCATGCAGACTCCGGACCAAATCATAATTTTCAAGCTTCTAAATCAACAAATTTTCAAACAGACTTTCCTCCATCGGAATGACACACAGCACAGACACCTATATTTGACTGTGGCTTCAGAAAATAGAGAGGCAAGTATAATATTTGGTTGAGATGAATCACTTGTTACCATTTTGGTTAATTTTGGATGTGGCCTTAAGGTTACTTTGCCTTTGAAAAACTGGGTATATGGAGGTCCTACCACCAGTGCCTGACGTACACCTACCCTTTTGACAGATGTTAGTGCAATAAGAAAGGTCATCTTTTGTCAAAGAGAGAGAGAGAGAGAGAGAGCAGTTTAGGCTCGACGGGGAACCCATGAGGGCAGTGAGCACAGTGTTAAGGTCCCAAAAAGGAACAGTGTTCTTTATTAGAGGGAAGAGGCGAGTAACATCTTTCAGAAACCTAACTACCACAGAGTTGGAAAAAACAAAACAAAACCTTTATTTGGATCAGGGGTTGAAACACCGAAACCACTGCTACGTGGGCCCTCAGAGCTGAGAGAAAGGTCTGACAATTGAAGGTGCAACAGGTACTCTAAAACATTCTGAATCTGGGCTTCCATTGGCTGAATTCCCTGACCAGCAGGCCAGATTGAGAAGTGTTTCCATTTGGCCAACTAGGTTTGATCCAGTGCATTGGTTTGTACTGTTCAACAGGCACAACTTGGACTGCTTCTGAACAGCTCTCTTCTGCTTGATCTAACCATTCGGCATCCACGCCATGAGGTACAGGCTGCCCAGATCTGGATGCCACATCTGACCACAATGTTCTGATAGAAGATCTGGAAGGAGGGGAAGAAGTCTGAGAGGTTGGACTGATAGACTGAGTAGATCGGAGAACTGACATTATCTCGATAAGGCTGGCACAATGAGTATCGGTTTGGTGTGATCTTGTTTGTTTGAGACAGACCTGAGGAATGAGCCGAATGGCAGGGAAGGCATAGATTAGCACAAACCCCAAGCTCAGTTAGAAGGCATCAGTGAGAGAGCAGGGACTGACCCACCTGAGAGCAAAATTGTGAGCATTTCTTGTTGTCATTTGTTGAAAATAGGTCAACAGATGGAATGCCCTAGGCCCTGAAAATCGACCTCAAGATGCTGTTCTTCACAGACCACTTGAGAGTTCTGGAGAAATTCCTGCTGAGGTGGTCAACCAGCTGATTCTGCGACCCAGGTAAGTGAGCGGTCATCGGGACAATGTCTTCCTTGATGCAAAAGTGCTTAATTGCTTCCTGATAGAGCTGACTGGACTGAGTTCCTCCCTGCTTGTTCACATAATACATTGCTGTTGTATTGTTGGTAAATACATGAATGGAAAAGCTCCCTGATGAGAAGGAGAAAGGGGTGGCAAACGTTGTAAATTGCTCAAAGCTTTAGAAAACTGATATGTAGCATGGTATGTAAAGAACAAAATTGTCACACATAGCTGAATATAATTTGTTGGGGAATAGTCAACATGGTTTTTGTAAAGGGAAATCATGCCTCACCAATCTACTAGAATTCTTTAAGGGGGGGAGTCAACAGGCATGTGAACAAGGGGGATCCAGTGGATATAGTGTATTTAGACTTTCAGAAAGCCGTTGACAAGGTCCCTCACCAAAGGCTCTTAAGCAAAGTAAGCAGTCATGGAATAAGAGGGAAGGTTCTCTCATGGATTGGTAACTGGTTAAAAGATAGGAAACAAAGGTAGAAATAAATGGTCAGCTTTCAGAATGGAGAGAGGTAAATAGTGGTGTCCCCCAGGGGTCTGCACTGGGCCCAGTCCTATTTAATATATTCATAAATGATCTGCAAAAAGGGGTAAACAGTGAGGTGGCAAAATTTTCAGATGATACAAAACTACTCACGATAGTTAAGTCCCAGGCAGACTGTGAAGAGCTACAAAAGGATCTCTCAAAACTGGGTGACTGGGCAACAAAATGGCAGATGAAATTCAGTGTTGATAAATGCAAAGTAATGCACATTGGAAAACAATCTCAACTATACGTATAAAATGATGGGGTCTAAATTAGCTATTACCACTCAAGAAAGATCTTCGAGTCATTGTGGATAGTTCTCTGAAAACATCCACTCAATGTGCAGTGGCACTCAGAAAAGCTAACAGAATGTTGGGAAGTATTTTCTCACACAATGTAAAGTCACCCTGTGGAACATTTTGCCAGAGGATGTTGTGAAGGCCAAGACTATAACAGGGTTCAAAAAAGAACTAGATAAATTCATGGAGGATAGGTCCATCACTGGCTATGAGCCAGGATGGGCAGGGATGGTGTCTCAAGCCTCTGTTTGCAAGAAGCTGGAAATGGGCGACAGGGGATGGAGCACTTGACGATTACCTGTTCATTCCCTCTGGGGCACCTGGCATTGGTCACTGTCGGAAGACAGGATACTGGGCTAGACAAACCTTTGGTCTGACCCAGTATGGCTGTTCTTATGTTCTTAGGTCTCCTGTTCTTTCCACAAAGGTTGGGCTCTCAGTGTCCCCAGATGTGCACATCAGCCTATCATCAAGACAAACGTAACGATGGTTGTGTTTGGGGGCAGGGAGGGGTGGAAATGAGCAAAATGTACAACTGCACAAACATTGCTCTGATCCGTCTGCTGCTCTAGGGATGCCAGGACTACCAGAGGCACCTAAACTAGCATGTGCGAAGAATGACAGTTTGGGTGTTAAAACCAATCTTAATCTTCCCTGAAGAGAATGGAGACAAGCTCGCATGCCAAATGACATAAGTACAAGGGGCCATGTGGAGCAGCAACTTCAAACATACTCAGACTGTGGAGAGGGGGCAAGATTTGAGCACAGGCATAGCTGGTGAATCGTCTGAAACCACTCCAGGAAAAAAAGCCAACAAACTTGTGGAGTCGAGTAGGGATCCAATGAACTCTATTTTCCGTGTTGGAACTAATGTGGATTTTCATTTGTATAGGATGAGTCCCAGATGATCAAAGAGACATGGTATAAGTTGGACATGACTAAGGACTTGGTCTTCCGATTTGCCCTGCACAAGTGAATAGTCCCGTTATGGGAGACATTCCCTCCCTCCTGACATATGGCATTTGGTGAATACATGCAAGGAAGAGGACAGGCAAAAGGAGAGTACTGTGTATTGCTAATGTTGGTCTGCTATTACAAGTCTCAGCAACTTCCTGTGGCTCGGCAACAGTGCCATATGGAAGTAGGTGTCCTGAAGACTGAGGGCAGCAAACCAGTCATTGTGATCTAACAAGGGGCGGGTGAGAGGGGAGGGTCACTAGGGTGACCATACAAAACCTAATATATATGACGTACACGTTGCCATTTCAAAGATCGAGTATGAGTTTCAGACCCCGCCTTTCACTTGGGAGATCAGAAACTACCGGGAATAAAACACCATCCCCCAATTTTGAAGAAGGACTTCTTCTATGACCTTTGAAGTTCTTGATGAAGTAACATTTTTTTAGATGGATCCCTGAAAAGGGATGGGAGGAATTGGATAGTATGTCCCACTCTCAAAGTGCTTAAGATCCATTTGCCTCCAGTTATGGTTTCCCAATCACAGCAAAAGTGGGACAGTCTGTCCCCAGAGAAAGGAGATACGAGAGGGAGATTGCTGGTGGTTAGAATGCTGTCCTGGAGGCAAAAGTCAAAAAGGGCTTTTTGCCCAAAGCTGATAGAGGATGAGCTGGCTGGTTAGAGGTGGAACCAGAGAACCACCTCCTCTGTTATTGATGCCTCCTCTTTGCAAAGGCCTGCTGCCTAGAATAGGCAAGGTGCCTGAAATACTGCTGGAAGTATTGAGCATATCGTTGCGGACCCCTGTGTGACTGGGGTACAGATCTCCCCTCCCCCCAAAAGAGCGTAATGTAACATGAGAGTCTTTAAATAAGCGTTGAGTCTCACTGGTTTTCTCAGAAAACAGAAACCACCTATCAAAGGGGAGGTCTGCTATATCCTGTTGAACTTCAAGGGCTATGCCAGAGTTCTGTATCCAGGAGGCTCTTCTCATTGTTACAGCTGAGGCCATAATCCTGGAAGAAGTGTCTGCTACATCAAGCGCCCGCTGGAGTGATGTCTTGGCTACTAGGTAGCCCTCTACCAGGAAAACCTTACATTTCTCCTTCGCATCTTCTGGCAGTCTGTTGGTGAATTTGGCAAATGTGTTCCAGTTCACAAAATCATACTTAGATAAAAGAGCCTCTTATTAGCTATGCACATTTGGAGAGACAAGGCGAAATAAATCTCTCTGTTCATTAAATCCAGTCTCTTGGCCTTTTTCTCTTTGGGCATCAATTTGTATCTTCCCTGGTGTGTCCTCTTGTCTGTGGCAGTAACCACAAGGGAGTTTGGACCCGGGAGAGAGGAGAAATATTCAAAGCCTTGAATGGGGACATAGTACTGCTTGCCCACATGTTTAGTCAAGGGAACTAAGGAAGCTAGCATGTGCCACAAGGTCTTCACTGGCTCCCAGAGAGGTTCATTTATAGGGAGGGCAACCCTCCCAGGGGCTGAGGACTGAAGAATGTCCAAAAGTTTGAGTATTCTCTTGGACAAACTAAGTTTGGATGCCCAAAGCTTCTGCAGCCATCCTCCTTAGAAGGTCTTAGTAAGACTTAAAGTCTTCTGGAAATAGGGAAGATGAGTCTGGGACCTTGGACTGATCCAATGAGGAGGATGACAGAGGCTGTGCGAATGGACCCTCCTATGGCAAGTCCTGTTCCTGTCACTTTGCTGTATCAAAAGCTTGATGGAAGCAATATCAGTCTGGTATTATCAGAACCAAAGAGGACAGTACATTTGTGTGGAAGTCATTGTCACTATCAATATTGCATCATGGTAATAATATTGTACTGGTAATAACATTGGATTTTCCTGGAACTTTTTAGAAAAGTATCTGATGAAGGATGCAATTAGTAAGTTCCACATAAATACACTTCTCTCCATGCAAAAGGCCTCCATACACCCCTGAACATATCAGTCCAAATTCAGCCTTGCTATAAGTGGTCGTAACTCCTTCCACGACAATGAATGGAGTTATACCTCCTTACACAAAGCCTGGTTTTGGCCCATCAAGCCTGCACTGAAATCCACATTTCATTTCTCTTAGATTCATAGATGTTAAGGTCAGAAGGGACCATCGTGATCATCTAGTCTGACCTACACAAACCACAGAACCTCGCTCAGTAATTTCTGCATCAAGCCTGTAACCTGTTTGAGCTATACTATCATCGAGTCTTAACTTGAGCACAGTTATATTGTTAAACAAGAGGCAAGATCATTGTACTAAAGGGCTCACCAAATAACAATGTCAAGATTAAGTGTATCTTATAAATAAGAGAGGCAGACCAAACAAAATAAGACAGTCTAACCCCTGTTTTTCTCTGAAAAAAGATTTAAGACAGTCATGGGTGGCAAGAGATTTAAGGGTAATAGTGAAGAGCAAAATAGGTACCAGTTTGTGATGCATCTGGTAGCAAAAAAGGCCAATGCAATTTTGGACAGCATGTGCAGAGCCATTGTTGTCAGGAAGTAGAAAGTAATAGTCCCAGACTAAGATTTTCAAAGGAGCCTAAATTAGTTGGGTGCCCAAGTGCCTATGAAAGACCTGATTTCTTCATCTCAGCCCTTGTCTATACGATGCTGTATAAAAGCACCCGGAGTACTGTGTTCATTTCTGTGCATCTCATTACTAGAAAGCCATTTACAAATTGAAGGGAACATAGGGAAAGCATCAAAAATGATAAGGGACTAGAGATTTGTTTTAGGAGGAAAGATTAAGAGAGTCTACACAACAAAGTAGAGAGGATCATGCTAAGATTCTACAAATATCTGAGGGTGGAAGGAGGAATTATTAGAATAGTAAAGGTGGGTAAAACTAGGGGCAATGGGACTAATTAAGGTTAAATTTAGGCTGAATATCTGGACAAATTTCCTGACAGTGTTAGATTATGCAATAGCCTCTCAAGTGAAGTGCAACAGAGGGCCTTTGGCACCTTTAAGACTAACAGAAGTATTGGGAGCATAAGCTTCAGTCTTGCATCTGAAGAAGTGAAGTTCTTACCCACGAAAGCTTATGCTCCCAATACTTCTGTTAGTCTTAAAGGTGCCACAGGACCCTCTGTTGCTTTTTACAGATTCAGACTAACACGGCTACCCCTCTGATCAAGTGAAGTGGTGGAAGTTCCATTACTTGAGACTGAATTGGACAATGCATAATGGTGTATGTGAAAACAATCCTTCATTAAAAGAGAGGACCTTCTGGATCTAACAGGTCTTTTCATTTCAAAGTTCTAAGATTTCAGTTTGACTCTAATAATGTTGAATTTTGCTTTACTTGTTGTTCTATTAAATGAAGCTCAGCTCTTGCTCTCTCCTCCGTGCTCACTGTCATTCCATCTAACACTTGCAGGTTGGGCAATCGAAACACAAGCAGTGGACGATGGGACATCTTGCGAGTAACCTGAGGAGAGAGAACATAAGTTATCCTAAAAATGGAATCCTGATCCAGAAGGATAACCTGAGAATAATTTGCCTCAAGAATAAATGTCTGAACCAAACCACAAAGCCAAAAATGAATGGAGATGACCATGCTCTGTTCCTGTCCCAGGCAGTGTTACGGACAGAAGAGGACATAAAAAATTATATTCTATAATTTAGCACAAAATAGGATTGAAAGAGGAAAGATAAATATGTTATCTGAGGATCTGTAAATAGGGTTCTCCTGTTAGTCCACCCTAGTGTCTGAACCCTGCTGACAGATGCTAACTGATGCTTGCTGATTCATGGTAGCAGGTGTACCTTGTTAACACCACCTTGGACATGAGAGGTGAGAGTATCCCTCTGAATGAGGGTTTTAGGGTTTGGAATTATGCAATTCTAAGGAAGGAATGCCACAAACAGCCAAGTCTGGAGAGAAAATTTGGGTAGGAGTTAATGTTGCTTGGCTTCCTGCACTTCCTGTTGGGCTTCCTGCTCCTTCATAAATTGCACCCAGGTTTTTTTCTGCTTTTCCTGGGCTACTGCCTGAACTTGCTGGAGTTGATTCTGCTGGGTTTTCATCCATTTCAGAATCTCATCCATTTCCCCTTTTTACATTGCTCTAATAGAGAAAGTTTGAAAAATCTCACAACTCCAGGAAACGTATTTGAGGAAATGGCATTTCCACCCTGCTACAAAACACAGCCAGCACATTGTCTACAGGGTCAACTCTCAACTCTTTGAGGGGTTTATCTCTATTAACAAGGTAACACAAATAAACAGCAGTAGGGTCTACAGAAAATTTTTGCCACCATTCCAGGTTCAAGCACCTGCTCAAAATTCTGCAGGATTCATTCTAATACCACTACTGTGGCTTTTATGATTAGCACATTTCAAAAAAAAAACCAAATCATAATACCTTTCACTTTTTACAGTGTGTTTCATTCAAGGATCTCAAAGGATTTTTGTAGGTATACATATTTGTAGAGAGAAAAACTGAGGCAAAAATAAAGTAAAGGTCAAATTTTTAGCTCCTGACCTTAAATTTTTATAAGCCCAAACTGTAGGTGCAAATAAACGTGTAAATAATTTTGTGCCTGAATTATTTGCATCCACAATTTAGATCATTTGCAAAGTGCTTTAAACTGCAGGCAGGGCCGGCTCTGGCTTTTTGGCCGCCCCAAGCAAAAAAAAAAACAGTGATCTGTGCGCCAGTGCGCGGGTGCAGGGGGCTAGCGGGGGGGGGAGGAAGAGAGGTAGGGAGCGGGCAGGAGAGAGAGAGAAGGGGGCGGCCAGGGCTACAGCGGGGCGCTGCCACGCAGCCCCTCCCGCTACGCCGCGCCACCTGCCAGGAGGGCTCCACTCTGATCGGCGGGGAGGGAAGGATGAGGACTGCCCTGCCGGGCTTGCTGCAGGGCGCTCCTGTCCTCCGCGCCGCCGCCCCCTACAGGGCGGCCGGAGCAGAACAAACAAACAAACAAAAAAAAGCAGCCGTGCCGCCCTAGGATCAGTAGCGGATTTACCATGGAGCCACTGGCTCCATGGAGCCAGGCCCACATTCCAGGGGGGCCCCGACCAGGCCCACTCTTCTCCACCCCCCGCTCTCTCCTGCGGGGAGCAGAAGTTTGGTGCTCCTGGCACTGAGGCTCCTGCTGCAGTAGGGCAGCCAAGCTCCCCTTCCCCTGCCTCTTCTCACAGCTTGCTCCCTTCCAGCCCTCCCCCTCCCCGCCGCCGATCAGCTGTTTGCTGGCAGGAGGGCGGGGGATGTGCACAGCCGCAGCATGCTCACCTGGGGAGAGGAGGCAGAGAAGAGGTGGGGGTGGGGTCTTGGGGACGGGGGTGGAACGACCAGACCTACTCTGACTGCAGAGCTGCACAGCCAAGCTGAAAAAAGAAGGTGCTGCTCAGCTCCCCGGACTTTGCAGCTGGACACACACCACCTTCTGGGTCCTACTGCTGGTTGAGCTCCCTTCTGTGTGCTGGGAGCCACCCTTCATCTTGTACAACAGTGAGTGCCCATGGTGGGCAGGGGCCGGGGGACAGAGGCAGTGGGGAAGGAAGGGGCATGGGATGGGAAACAACCTCTTTGAACAGTATTAGGACAACACCCAGAAGGAAGCAGCACAAAGGACCAACGGACACAGATTTTGAATCTGGTATAGATTTGCATGAGAGGGAAGCTGCTATAAATGTGAGGTGTCTTGCAGAGGACCCTGGGTTTTGTCAACATCGGAGCATTGATCCAGATTGGCAGAAGCCCGGCTCCACCCCTCCCCTATCTAACTCATCTGGCCAGTGAAGTTAAGAGGAGCAACTAGTTGGTAACAACAACAACAAGCTGGAGTATGTGAGTGCATGAGTGTAATATAGACCATATGCAGATGATACAGTGTTGATTGATGCATGTATTACCAATGAATGTGGCGTTTGCCTTATTCCCCCTGAAAAGATCCTGTGCAGTACTTTAAGTACAACAACCCCACTTCCCCTGCACCCAGACTCTCCCCCTCACCCGGCTGAGCTCCAACCACTTTCACTTGGTCCCCCCTGCAGATTTCCATTGCCCCTGCACCTGGCACCTCCCTGTGCATCCAGATCCCCCACTGAGCTGCCTGCACCCAGACCTCCCCCCACAGAACCCTCTTACCCCCCCCCACAGAACCCTCTTACC